CTGAAGAAGGGTCCCAACCTGAAACATCAGCTTTCCTGTTCCTCTGATGCTGCCTGGCCTGCTGTGTTACTCCAGCTCCACACTGTGTTATCTCTGACTCCAGCATTTTCCAGTTCTTGCTATCTCTTCTTGCTTATTATTGTCAATTTATATGCCTTATTTTTGCATCTAATACAATCTGTAACTTTCCTTGTAAGCCATGGTTTGGCCACTGTTCTCTTCGCACTCTTGCGCCACACAGAAATAAATATCTTTTATGCATTTACTCTTTGAATGTTTGCTGTTGCCAATCCACTGTTGTTCTAATCAGTAACATATCCTAATCCGTTATAGCTAACTCATTCCACATACCATCATTGTTTCCCTTATTAAGATTCGGGAACCTAGTTTCAGAATCATCTACCCACTCTCCATAAAAAAAAGAATTCTACCATATTATTGTCGCTCATCCCCAATGGGTCTTTCATAACTTCATTACCAATTATCCCTTTTTCTGTGCAAAACAACCTGCTCCTCTGATGCTGCTTGGCCTGCTGTGTTCATCTAGCTGTACAGCTTGTTATCTCAGATTCTCCAGCATCTGCAGTTCCTACTATCTCTGAAACATAATTACAGGTGTTGCTTTAAGGCACACACCTCTCATTTCCTGTTTAATACCATTCCCAAAATCACCACTACAGTTTGGTGGTCTATATACCATCCCCACTCACTTCATCTCACTAAATATAGGGAGGTGGGAATCTGGAATGCATTGTCTGGGAGCACAATAAAGGTAGGAAACTTCACAACTTTTCAAAGTAATGTGGATGAGAACTTGAAATGTTAGAACATCCAAAGCTATGGGCCAAGTGCTGGAAAGTTGGATTAGTCTTGACTGGCATAGACACAAGGGGCCGAAGGACTCTGAACTGTGACAAGGTGCAGCCTGTCCCACTGCTCTGCAAAGCAAGGTAAGCCACAGAGGTTGGCTATCTCCAAGCAAATACAAACTGAATGAATTGTACAACATCAAGCTCAGAGTCATAACATGTGTAGATGCATCAGATGTGTGTGTGTCTCACAGCATGCACAGTGACCTGGCTAAATATGAAAATCAAAGGAGTCCCAAGTTCCAAAGTGAAATCCTGAAAGGTGGAAATGGTGTGTGAGTTTGTCCAAGGCTAGCAGTTTACTGTTGCTGACTTGCTTGGTCAAAGGATGGAGTTGGAAAATGCCCATGGAGCTTGCAGTGACATTGTGATGAAAACATGGACAAGGGCAAGGGCAAGCAAGCAGCAAGCTGATGCCCCCAGGTTACTGCAGTGACTTTCATATGAGAATCTGGTGCCATCTAGTTCCTGAGAAAAAATGAAGGGAATTTAAAACTGCATAGAAAGGAGGCAAGTGGTGCGATTAATAACACACAGATACATAGAAATAGGTAGACATGGCTCATTAGCAAGATTAAGAAGTCACTGCTTAAATCTTAAGGGAAAAGTTTTAACTTGTTTTCTCTATGTTGAGTATCCGATTTTTTTTCATTTTTGTCATATTTTCCCACATTTCTTGCTATTGCCCAAATTGCTCAAGGAGGCGGAATGTTTTGCCCCAAGAAACTGATAAAGATAGGGAAAAGAGAATATAAATACAAACATGTGAGAAGCTTAAAGGCATACTGTAAAAGTAATGAAAAGATGGAAAAACTAAACAATTTTTTTTTTCTGCCTTCATGGAAGAAGATACAAAAAATCTCGCACGAATGTTAGCGACCAAGGTACTTGTGAAACTAAGGATCTAACCTTATCCCAAATGTTATAAAGAGGTAGTACTTGAAAAGTTAATTAGCTGGAAGGTTCATAAATCCCCTGGACCAGATGATACTACATTGAAAGGGAACTATAGAAATAGTGTATTGTATTGGTGAT